ACACACACACACACACAGTCTAAACACTACAGCGAGAGCACAGGGGAGAGGAGTGATCAGGCCAAACACATAACCACAATAAGCTTTTTCATACAAACCGATTGATTAATATTTGTCCCACTGTCTCCCCCCCCTCCTCTCTGGTGGACTTCAGCGGAGCAGTAGTGGATTACATTTGACACATCACCGAGGGGGGGGTTGCTGTTTTTTTTTTTTAGTATCTCAGTTATTTTCCAGTCTTTGAGGTCGATCATGCATCCGTTTGACATCAAGCGCACCACAAAAAAAATCCACATGAAGCCTCTGTCAGAAATGGCATTTTGCACCCAGAGTGAAGCACTTTGTCTGTCCTTACCGATGGCTTGTGTCTGGGCGGCGAGCGTGTTGGCGAGGGGGCGCGGTCTGGGTTTTGGGTTTGAAGAAAACAGATCGTCCAAGTCAACGAGCGACGCCCCCGCAGTGCCCAGAAACGAAGCAGTCTTTCTATGCGTCTCCTTTCCCAGGACCGTTTGCTTTCCTGCAATAAAATAAAGGTCCAATTCTACACTAAAAGGTGTTCTCTTTTGGGGGACAGGTCAGGGAGGAAGAGAGAGCAAAGCGGAAGAGAGGTTTTATTAAATATGATTGTTAGGCAACTGCTGACTGATGGGAGGTGAAATGGAAGAAAACGGTCACACGTGCAAATGACCATTAAATGTAGACAAGAGAAGCTGGTAAACACAGACGCAGGCACACAGACTGTTAAGGTTTTAGATCAGTTAACAAGCAGTACTTTTAGCAAACGCCATAGAATTTAGTGCGGAGCGTTTTATTGTAGTGTACAAAGGCAGACAATGAGGTTTTACTCTCGTGAATAATGGATGGATGGCAGAAATGTGTTAGTTTACCTGTCCCATTGCTCGGTGCACCCCAGGGGTCGTCTTTTTTAGACGCTCCGTCTCCAAAGGGGTCACTAGACGAGTCCGAGGGCGGAGCAGGCGAACCCCACGCATCGTCTGTGCTAACTGGAGCTGCAGCTAAACAGGGAAGTACAGCAGGCGGACTCAATCAGGACAAAACAGCAACAGACGGATAAAACCAATGTTTCACTGTAATGGCTTTGTTACTTCTGTAAGAAAATACTCTAAACACGAGGTTCACTGATTAGCTTCTTCCAGAGCTTCGGTTGTAATAAGCGGCCTCCTTGATCTTTCTCCAGCTATCCACTGAGTCCCGATTGATGACTTTGAGCTCTTCCCAGTCGATGCTATGAATGGTTTTGATATTTAAAGCTTTCAATCTCTTACTTTTTTTCACCGCACATGATGCAAGTGATGCTTAATGGCTTGTGGTACTTTAAGACTTCTTCTGCCTTCAAGACTCTCGCTAGATATTCCAACAGCCCAACCACGTTCTCCCACTGAGATGATTCTGGTGGTACAGGGATTACGCCCCCCCCCAGTATAGGACTACTTGTTATCACGTGATCCAAGTTCTGAAGACAAGCTCTGAAAAAAACTACTAGTTTAACCTGAGTTTAGAATATTTTCTTAGATGATTAGATTCCCAAGTTCCAATAATTATTCTTTATGCTCGAGATTTGTTTCTTACCTGGTGCTCCCCATGGGTCATCGTCTGGTTTGGATGAACCCCCAAAAGCATTGGAACTATCAATGGGTGAGGAGGCGCCTGTCCCGTCCCCCCAGGGATCTCCACCCTTTGTTTCACTCGAAGCAGGTGGCGCCCCCCAGGGATCTGACCCAGCAGGTGGAGAGCTAGCAGGGGCTCCCCACGCATCTGCACTGCCTTGGGGTGAACTCACCAGAGGGGCATTGAAGGGATCTGAGACATCATCTTTTGGTGGGCTGGACGGCACTGCGAATGGGTCTTCTTTAGGGGGTGTTGTTGGTGACGCAAAGGGGTCTTCCTTCGTTGGTTTGGAAGGTGCAGAGAAAGGATCCTCTTTGGGTGTTGTTGGGGCAGCAAAAGGGTCGTCTTGGGTAGGTTTAGTCGGTGCGCAGAAGGGATCTTCTTTAGGGGGCGTTGTGGAAGCAGCAAAGGGGTCGTTTGTTGGTTTGGATGGTGCAGAGAAAGGATCTTCTTTAGGTGGCGTTGTTGGTGCAGCAAAAGGGTCGTTTGTTGGTTTAGTCGGTGCGCAGAAGGGATCTTCTTTAGGGGGTGTTGTGGAAGCAGTGAAGGGGTCGTCTAGTGCTAAAAATGGGTCTTCTTTAGGGGGTGTTGATGCTGGTGCAGTGAAGGGATCGTCTTT